CGCTACCACGCCCGGCTAATTTTTTGATTTATTGTAGAGATGAGGTCTCGCCTGCCCAGGCGGGTCTCGAACCCGCGGGCTCAGGCAATCCACTCACCTCAGCCTCCCAAAGGCGCGGGATTACAGGCTGAGCCACCGAGCCCGGCTTTACCATGTCTTCTAACCTAATAGATACTGCTGCAATCTGTTAGTTGTCTGTCTCAAATCTTTTTCTTTTGTTTTTATAAAATTTATTATTTTAAAGATGTTCCTTTTCTTTTAAAATTCGTACATTTGCATAGATTAGTCAATCTGTTAAGGTGATCCCTGAGTGTATATCAGCATTCAAAGAAGCTATCATAGACTTTTCTTGCCCGGCTCCTGATCTGATCCCAACAAAGAATTATGTGTTTCAAAATATTAATAGCATCAAAGTTAAGAATCTGGACTCTAGTACGTCAAAATGTGTTATTTGGTCAGTGTAGTGTTATGTGGTCAGTGTAGTGTTATTTTAGGAAGTTTTCTTAAACCATCACTCGCTGGAGAGATTCTGCCAGGAGCTAGAATTCTAATAGAGCAATACCTCTGATACCACATTTTTCAGTGGCATGTCTGTATTCCTTAATGGGCACAGGAATGCCACAGTTCATGGTCCTGGTTCATGACCACGCTTGTTAGGTTATCATGGTAAGTCTTCATGAAGAAAGGAGCAAACTTTAGAGAGTCCCAGAGTCAGGAGCTGATGATGATCATGTGTGGAGTGTTTCCTCTATAGTACCTCTAAGGATGGTTTCTAAGAAATTCTGGTAAACATGGGTGGGGATCAGTAGGCTAATTTGTAAGGTGCCTGTAGGTACATTTCTTGGCAAACAGAAGGCACCTTTGGGTGAAGTTTGAAAAAGTGACTTTCTCAGTGGTTACAACCACACATTGTCCATTACTCTCCTCTTTGGCTGGGTGCTGTTATAGGGCACAGCCTGTACAGTTGTATGCAGTGGTCCTAACAGTTGCAATTGAAATGAACTGATGGATTTTTCAGTTGTGATGCCTGTAATATGGTTTACCTGGCTGACCAGCAGTTGATCCTGTTCACAGTTCAGTTCCCCTTGACTTTCATTAGGGCAGCAGTAAACAAGGAACTGCAGCAGGAGTACCTGGTCTTTGAGTAACTCCTCTGGATGAAATGCTCTAGAATGGCTACAAACTTGTATGGCACCTGTCAAACTTAAAGTGCCAAGGAATGGGCCTTTGTGCCTCATGGGTGAACCTTGTTTTATTTCCTAAAACTGGTGATTTCTTCAAATAGCTGGAAGGATAGAGGTGGCATTTGGAAAGTGCCTACAGGTGGGGAGGGGAAGGTAGGATGGAGGCTATCCTATAGCTTAGGAGCCTACTTCCAGCAACAGTACTGGTTCTGCTCCTCAACTTTTTCCAGTAAGGACTTTTCCTAATGTCTTGCAGTTTACCCTGGTGGAAGCCTTCTGTTGGCGTAATTTCCTGATGCAGGAAAAGGGACAGAATCCTATCGTTCTCTCCCTATCTTTCCATCCTTTATTTGTAGGAATCTGGTCTTTTCTTTATACAACTTTTTATAGTCAGTGTTTATATTCGATATCAGGATAGTCTGAGCTATGCTGTGGTAAGAAATACTCTCAAAATTTCAGTGACTTAATACAATGATTTATTTTTGCTTACGCCATATGCGTTTTATGAGTTTGCTGGGAACCTGTTTGTTGTTATCTTTGTCCCAAAATTGTGGCTAAGGAGCAGCCAATCTTTAAAATATTGCCAGTCACTGTAGAAGAGGTAGGAAAAAAAACATGGGGAAAAATATATTAGCTCTTCGAGTTTCTACCTGGAAGTGACACAGATCTCTTT